TTGCTCCAAGCCCCATCCAGCCTGGCCTTGAACCCCTCCAGGGATGGGGCAGCCATGGGTTCTCTGGGCAACCTGGGCCAGGCTCTCGCCACCCTCACAGCAAAGAATTTCTTTCTAGTATCTCACCTCAATCTCCCCTCTTTCAGTTTAGAACCATTATCCATCTTCCTGTGGCTCCCCTCCCTGATCAAGAGTCCCTCCCCAGCTTTCCTGGAGCCCCTTTTAGGGTCTGGAAGGTGCTATAAGATCTCCCTGAAGCTTTCTCTTCTCCAGGCTGAACAATGCCAAGAATGATCTCCTTTTCCTAGTCCCTGCTTTTTTTAGGAATCAGTGAGGATGAAGGGATATTCATGGTATATTTTTATGGAGAAACCTATTGGTTCACCAGCACAGGACACCATCTGCAGTGGAGGAACCGTGTCGGCCAGTCAGTGCAAATGCACATTTCACACTTTGATGTAGCCAGGGAGAGTCCCCACTGGAGATTTGCACTTGAACATCCAAGCGAAGGCATCATAAGCTCTCAATTGCTCCAGGTTGGGCTTTTCTCCAAAACTACTGTGCTGTAGACTGTGGTTAAGTGGCAGCATTTGCTTGTCTTTGCTGTGGCCATGTGAATGGAGCTGTGCTGGTGTCAGGTGGTGACAACTTGGCTCAGGGTCCCTGGAGATAATGAGGGGGGTTAAGGTACGGCACAGGCTGCTGGTTTTGGTATGTACAGGGCATCACCAGAAATAAGGCTTATATCTGAGTCTATTTTTCAAGGTAAAATATTTGAATACAAACAAAATTACTTTTCCTCGTGGCTTCCACCTACATGCAGAGCATTCATTATTATTAATTGAAAGCTAAGAGCGGAGAAGATGGAAAGGCACACTTTTTTTTCCCCCCTCTCGGTGCCGGTGTTCTGTTCTCTTCAAATCTCTCATAATATGGCCAAGCAGATAAGACAGATTGTTTTATTCCTTGCTGTGGAGTTCATCCCAGTCAATAATATTGATTAGTGCAGGGTGACTTGATGTAACAAGAATAACACCCCTTTCTTAATTTGAGCCTGGATTTCCTGGTCCGTGCCTCAGTAGTTCATGCTCGGATGAATTCTTCAATAAGTCAGTTAAGACACAGACCTCACTGGAAATTGCAGGCTCTGACATTAATAGGAGAAATGAATAATTTTCTTTTCCCAGAAGTTGCACCTCTTTTTTTTTTTTTTATTTCTTTTTTTTTTTTCCCCCCACAATTAAACTGTCACATTGTGCAAGTGAACTTTGTAAAATGCAAAATGAAGTTCCTGAACTTTTTTTTCTTTTAAACAGCTACCGCTTTCTAGTTACAATTGATAAAGTTTTATAAACTCTCTTCTCAACTGCTTCTTTGAGTCCTTAAATGTTACTGTAGGATAACGTTACTGCACTGGTGAGGCCACAACTGGAATACTGTGTCCAGTGCTGGGCTCCCCAGTTCAAGAGGGACAGGGAACTACTGGAGAGAGTCCAGCGTAGGGCAACAAAGATGATTCAAGGACTGGAGCATCTCCCTTATGAGGAGAGGCTGAAAGAGCTGGGACTCTTTAGTCTGGAGAAGAGAAGGCTGAGGGGAGACCTTATTAATGCCTACAGGTATCTCAAGGGTGGGCTGAGGGAGGAGGGAACCAGACTCTTTTCAGTAGTTGCCAGTGAGAGGACAAGGGGCAATGGGCACAAGTTGGAACATCAAGGGTTCCCCTTGAATATGAGGAAGAACTTTTTCACGGTGAGGGTGACAGAGCCCTGGAACAGGCTGCCCAGGGAGGGTGTGGAGTCCCCTTCTTTGGAGATTTTCAAGACCCGCCTGGATGCTCCTGAGTAACATGCTCTGACAAGCTCTGGGTGGTCCTGCTTTAGCAGGGGAGTTGGACTAGATGATCTCTATGGTCCCTTCCAACTCTAAAAATTCATTGAAATTATCAAGAAGTTCCATCAGCTTGTGGAAATCCCGGGACTGCAGATAATCCAGAGTTTGCATGGATTTCCCACTCCACAGGGAATTGAATTTTGTCCCTTTTCCCTGGGTATCTACATCAGTGCTGTGAATTCTTGTAGAAAACGCTCCTGACCTGGAGGGACCATTTCAGGGTATGGAAGACCTGGCGTTGGTGGCCTCCTTGGTCCTTGCAGTTGCTATGAGGTTGCGAATGGGGGGCTCAATTAAATCAATCATTTAAGAGCTTTTCTTTTCGTAGGTTGTAGGTAATGACCTAAAGCAGATAAACATCACTTTGAAAACAAGTTCAGAGTCACCCACCCATTGGTTGTGTTCCTACTTCTCTGGGTGGTCCTGCTTTAGCAGGGGAGTTGGACTAGATGATCTCTATGGTCCCTTCCAACTCTAAAAATTCATTGAAATTATCAAGAAGTTCCATCAGCTTGTGGAAATCCCGGGACTGCAGATAATCCAGAGTTTGCATGGATTTCCCACTCCACAGGGAATTGAATTTTGTCCCTTTTCCCTGGGTATCTACATCAGTGCTGTGAATTCTTGTAGAAAACGCTCCTGACCTGGAGGGACCATTTCAGGGTATGGAAGACCTGGCGTTGGTGGCCTCCTTGGTCCTTGCAGTTGCTATGAGGTTGCGAATGGGGGGCTCAATTAAATCAATCATTTAAGAGCTTTTCTTTTCGTAGGTTGTAGGTAATGACCTAAAGCAGATAAACATCACTTTGAAAACAAGTTCAGAGTCACCCACCCATTGGTTGTGTTCCTACTTTTGCACTTTCTATTTTGGAGACATTCTTCTTCTCAGTTGGAGGCAGGCAGATGTCAGGGTCACAAAATCCAATAATGATCTGCTGGTGGTGTTTTGATTTCAAGTACTTTGTCATTTTCCTGCCTATAAAGCGATCACAATAATGTGATTAGGTTCTGTATTTATTATTATTCAATCATTAAGGAGAGTTCACATGCAAAATGAGAAGGACTTGATAACATTTGGGATATAAAGGCTTCGCTCAAGTTCGTATTTGAGGTTTTTAGCCCCAAAATACACTTGATGGGGTTACTTGTCAGATGATGCCACCAAGATGACGGTCTGTGCTTTATGATGAGGGGGCACGACCCAAAATACAGAGGATTATGTGCCAAATTGCTGCTAATTTCAGAATGAGATTTTTTTCTGATGCTGTCATTTGCTTATGTGTCATTTGCATCTGGCTTGTCCTCCTAAAAATGTTTTCTTCTGGAAGGTGGACTTTGTTGCTTTCAGGGAATGCAAGGGTTTCAGTAAATTGAGATTTGCCCACCCAACTTTCTTTTCTCTCAATATCCTAATTTAAAGTATTTTGGTGTTGGCAGCTGTCTGTGGAAGTATTTTTGGTTCAGGTGTAACGACGGGTAGGTAGGTGTCTTCATGCCACTCAAAGTCCTTCAGCCTGGGCCTGAGGTGTATCAATAATTCTCTCTGAGCTTGTGTTTTACTGCTGGGGAATGTGCCAGACTCAACAAGTTTATTTTTCACGTGGCTGAGAGCCTGTTTGTGTGCAACTAGAACTCGAGCAACAGAGACTTCTGTTGGGAAATCACAGGTTTCTGTGCAGGACGTGGACTCCTGAGAGACCCAGTAGTGTTAAATGTAATAAATAAGTTAAAATGTTGTGTTACTGGCAATCAAAACCAAGCTGCCTTCCAAGGGATTGAATAATGGCATCATCCATCTGAGGTGTGGGATCCTTCCATACAGCAATATGGGGGGAGCAGCAAAATCCAGTGAAATGTGGCTCTTAAAACCCTTTCCAAGCACGATGTCCTTCAAAATGCACCTCATCCACATGGCCAAGACCTTGGGTGTTTATTAGACAAGGTGAAGGCCCTTGTGCTTTTGAGAAAGGATAATGTCAGTGTGTGCCTGTGTACAAATTAAGAGCTGTTTGTTTGGTTTTGGGCTGTTCCAAAAGCTGCTGAAGTCACTGAAGCTTCAGGCTGGAGGTCCCCATGTGTCCATGGGGTGACACTTTGAAGAACCATGAGGCTCAAGTCTCTTAACGGTATCTGGGATCTCTGGGCTGTGTGATGGGTGTACTGGGTACAGTCCCAGTACATTCCAGTACATCCCAGTACTGTATCTGGGATCTCTGGGCTGTGTGATGGGTATGGCGTTAGCACCTCCAGTCCCAGTACATTCCAGTACTCCCAGAGCATCTTTCTTAAGAGGAGAGGCTGAGGGACTTGGGGCTTTTTAGTCTAAAGAAGAGAAGGCTGAGGGGGAATCTGATGATTACTTATAAATACTTAAGGGGTGGGTGTCAAGAGGATGGGGCCAATCTTTTTTCAGTGGTGCCCAGTGACAGGACAAGAGGAAATGGGCAAAAACTTGAATATAAGAAGTTCCATCTAAACATGAGGAGGAACTTGTTTGGTGTGAGGGTGGCAGAGCCCTGGAACAGGCTGCCCAGGGAGGTTGGTGGAGTCTCCATCTCTGGAGACATTCAAAACCCACCTGGACACGTTCCTGTGCAACCTGCTCTGGGTGGCCCTGCTTTGGCAGGGGGTTGGACTAGATGATCTCCAGAGGTCTCTTCCAACCCCATGTGATTCTGTGATACATCAGACTTCAGCCCAACTGGGACTCCAGAGGTCTCTTCCAACCCCATGTGATTCTGTGATAGGTCAGACTTCAGCCCAACTGGGATGTTCATCCCATGTGGCTGGGAAACTCTTCTGCAATTGAAACTGGGTCCCTTGCAGTAGGAGACCTGCACTTACCAGTTTTTCTGCAATCCTGTCACTAACTACGGAAGGAGGAGCCTAAAGTGATGTGTAAATTCTATTTGTGTTGTTCCTGTTGCTTTAGGAGTATGTTCTCTGAGCAGAAAGAGGGTAGAAAAAGCATATCTTTATGTTAATTACTGATCTGTCACCAGGAACGAAGCACTTACAGACAGACCTAAATGTTTAATTATCATTGCCATCTAAAATTCAAGGGCTGTTCAGATCGGTTAAACAACTTGTTTTGTGTTATTTTCCAGGAGGCCCAGATGATAACTTAATTGAAGGTGGCGGATCCAAGTTTGTCTGCAAACCAGGAGCCAGAAACATTACCATCATCTTTCATCCCCTCCTCAGGTAAGGAAGGCTTTTCTACGTATTTCTACAGATGCAAATAATATGTAGAATTAACCTTCTTGATGGAGACGTTGCCACTTCGGAGAGAACATCCCCCAGCAATGGGCTTGCTGTAAAGTTGTTGTTGAGCACAGGTGTTAAAAATCATCACTAGTTGAGCTTGTTGCCAATGCTTTTTAATCTTTTTCGCCATTAACTTGCACATTTGCCTGGGTGACCCCTTTGCATCGAACGGTGTAATTTATTATTGACCCAAGTTGAGGAAAGTTGAGTCGCCGCCGGTCACACACATTGTTTATCACTGACTGTCCCTTGTGCTTATTAAAAACTCAGAACCCTATGAACTGCCAGGTAAGTTAATTCTTTGATAAAACAAGTATGGTCCATGGACTGAAAATTAAACGCCTGATCTAACGTGCCGTGCCAATTACTAAAATCTTCACAGCTCATCAAGGACTGGGGGAACTTTGAAACAGAGCAAGTCTATAATAAGCCTCTTCTCACCGAGTCACTCACCTCTGATACTTTCATTTTGCTCTTTTTACTTTGCAGTCTAATGGTTCATCATCTTAGTTTTGCCGGAATTAAATAATAAGATGTTTTTCTCGGTTCATGTCAATCTTCCACCTCTGCCTTTTCCTTGGAGGGTTCTCCTTTGTCATCAGACATGTCCTTCCCTACACAGTGCGAGCACCTTTGCAGAGCATTTCCCTCCTACCTCTGTTTGTATTACTCCTGGTCATGAGTCACTTAAGCAGCAAGGCATGTTTTTCCTGTGCTACAACCAAGCAATAATAACATAGTAATAAAAACTAATTGGAATCAGATCCCCAGATGAAGGACTATTCAGACCGCCATCTTGGTAGCTGAGAACTGTGGCCATTTGTGACTTCTCAGGACTTAAAAATGCAGAGGGAAAGTGTGTAAATTCCTCTAAATGTGAATTTCTGATGTCATGACACTGACTATTGGAATGATCATGGGAACAGCTTGTGAGGACACAGTAAAATTTGTTATGATTTTTCAGATCTTTCCTTGAACAAAGGGTTGTGTACGTTGTACACTATTCAATTATTTCTAGATGCCCATAATGAACTATCTAATTTCATAAGCATATTTTTTCTCTAACTCTGTCTCTTTTAAAATGGAAGAAATGTATTAAAAATAAATTTGCTAGGGCATGATTTATGGTTTTCAGCCATGAGAAAAGGTGAACACTGGTCAAGATGCGGTAGGTTGCTCAAGACATGACCACTATGACATGGACTTCAGTATGTTCATCTTTAATGAATTTACAGGTTTCTTTCAAGCGCACAAGGGGGTGGTGATGCTCTTATTTGTATTGATGAGATACTTCAGTTTGATTTAGAAACTGGTGAAAATGCTTCTTTCTTTCTCTTCGCCTTCCTGCTTAATTTTTCCCCTTTTTTATTGCCATCCGAGTCAAACGTGAGTGCTCTGCTTTAAATAGCACTTCTTGCAAACACTTCACTTTCATTACCAGCTTGCAAGATAGGCAGGAGAAATAATTTGCTTCATAAAAAATAATTGCATCAGGATTAAGGTATCTGTGTACAATATATTTTCCGTGCCAACCATCTGCAGCATCTTAACGTCCTTTGGGTTGAGTAGCTCATCAATAGCTGCATGAAGAGAAAGAAAATACTCTGTGACCCAGCTTACCCTTTCCTTACTGCGGAACGGGGTGAGTCTGGGTGGAGGTGAAGACTGTAGAACCTTTTCTGAAATGGGATTTCAGTTTCTTGAATGATAAATGAGTAAATATGCGAGTCCTTGCTGTCTTAGATGTAACTCATGGTGCTCAGCTTTGGCATACGTGTGATGCGTGTTAGAATCAGAGAATTGTCTAGGTTGGAAGGGACCTTTAAAAGCATCTAGTCCAACCATCAACCAACACGTTTTGGAGCACAAGTCTTGTGAGGAGCAGCTGAGGGAGCTGGGGATGTTCAACCTGGAGAGAAGGAGGCTGAGGGGAGACCACCTCGCTCTCTACAACTCCCTGAAAGGAGGGTGTAGCCAGGGGGGGTTTGGTCTTTTCTCCCAAGAAACAGGTGATGGGTCAGTAGGAAATGGCCTCAGATTTCACCAGGGGAGGTTTGGGGTGGATATTAGGAAAAAAAATTTCATGGAAAGGGTTGTCAATCGTTGGAAGAGGCTGCCCAGGGCAGTGGTGGAGTCACCATCCCTGGAGGTATTTAAAAGCTGGGCAGATGTGGTGCTGAGGGACATGGGTTAGTGGTGGTTTTGTCAGTGTTAGGTTGATGGTTGGACTCAATGATCTGAAAGGTCCCTTCCAACCCAGACCATTCCATGATGCGTGGGATGCAGCGTGTCTGGGACGACCATAGGACTGGGTTTCCTTGGCTGATAATAACTCCTTACAGGGAATCATTTCTGATGGAATACCAACGACCTGTCCTACCAGCAAACTGGCTTCACCCGTTGACTCCTGTGTAAATTGGCTACACGATGCTGGCCGCGGCCGCAAAATGCTGACTGGGGTGGATTTGCTAAACTATTGATGTTTGCAATAATTTCTAGCACATCATCTTAAATGAGCAGTCCTTGTTGGTTAGATCTCTGTCACCCCTTTTCTAGACATGATCGTATGAAGTGTCAAGCTCCGAGCAGGTAATTGCTGCAGAGGTGTGAAGTTTTCACTTGCTTTATTTTCCATCTGTTGTCGAGGTTCTTTATGGTTGGTCTCAATCATCTTTCATCGATGTCGCTTGTACAGGCTTAAAATGAATCTGTTTTGCATTCGGAATTATCAATATTTTATTTAGAAGGTTATGGTTGTGGGTTTTTTTCATCAAATTCGGCTTAAAATGAATCTGTTTTGCATTCGGAATGATCAATATTTTATTTAGAAGGGTATGGTTGTGGGTTGTTTTTTTTTCATCAAATTCACATTGAAGGAGTTTTAGCACTGTATGGGCCAGCTGATTTTATTAGGAGGCTGAGTGCTTCCAGAAGTATTAAACTAACTCAATCACTGAGAAACCAGGTGCTGGCATGAGGATTTGAAGCCTGAACGTCGCGTTGAGTGATTTTTTTGAGCTGCAATTCAGCACAGTGATTTTAGGTGGGAAGTTGTAACCAGAGATTTTATATTCATCAGTCTCAATTTCTTTTTTTTTTTCTTTTTTTTTTGTACTACCGATATGAAAAGTGTCACTGCCCATCACATCAGAGAGTGGCACAATCACAGCGTTAAGATTACTGGTTATAATAGCCTTTTTTTGTTGGGTTGTTTAAATTTACAAACTGAGACTAAGCTTGGCTCCAGATCCTTTTGAAGAACACGGAGTCCGCAGGTTTTCTAGGGGGCTCTAAATTAACCCCCGTATTTCCAGTAACGAAACTTTATTTAGAGAAACTCTTGACTTAAAACCATCATGGAGACATCAAAACCATCATGGAGAGTGTAAGGGTGAAGACATACGAATGCTTTTCAAAGTCTTCCTGGCCTAGAATTCATTTAGAGCAAGGGGCCAGATGGAAGTTGTGGCTGCCCCATCCCTGGAGGGGTTCAAGCCCAGGCTGGATGGGGCTTTGATCAACCTGGTCTGGTGGGAGGTGTCCCTGCCCAGGGCAGGAGGGTTGGAACTGGATGATCTTTAAGGTCCCTTCCAACCCAAACTATGATTCTGTGATTCTGTGTTGCGCCGTTTGGGATGCACCTTCCAACCCAAACCATTCTATGATTCTATGATTCTGTGTTGCGCCGTTTGGGATGCGGGTCCCTAATTTCCACCAGGACAATCGAGACGCACCGAGCCCCAGATTAATTACCAGGACTTAATGACACCACCACACGCGGAATAAATGAACAGCGAATTTTTGGAAGGCAAGTGGGTATTCTAGCAGAGATGATTCCTGGGAATAGATTTGACTAACTCCACGTGAAAACTAATTGCACTGACAAATTGAGGAGGAATACGCATCTGATTTTTTTCCTTAATTACATATTGCGGGAGGTGACAAAAGTATAAAAGTTACCAAAAAAGAGTCCAGTTGCTGTCTTCATCCTCTGCTGCTAACCAGCATCTGCCTGGATCGGGAAAGCTCTGGTGTTACTGGGATCTGGATTAACATCTCCTGTTGGAGGAAGGGAACGTGCGGGACCAACATGGATACCCTTTACGTTGTGGAATATTGAACAGCCTGAGTGATGTCTGTTGTAACATTTGTTTGGTGGGGTTTTTTTTTCTGTGTGTGTGTGTGCGTTGGGTGGTTGTTGTTGTTGTTTATTTGTTTCAGCTGGCATTTGAAAGGCACTTGGCTCTTCAGGGTAATAATCATTTTACATATGCTTTATGGAGTATGTTTATTACCAGACAATTGAAGAACAGATGTCTGCAGTCTTGAGGCTTAAAGGGGGAGGGACAGGAGGGACCGACGGCGTTTGGAATCGTGAAGGCATCGTTGATGCTAACTCAGTTGAGCATTGTTTGGATATTGGGTATTAAGGCCGTGAGGGTATCCATTTATTAATAGCAGCCACGACTCATTAAGATCAAGCAGCAATTAAAAGGGTTGTAGGATGGGAGAGAAAGCAGAGTGTTCATTGATTTGGAAGAAACAGTCTCTTCTAAGCAAGACCGTGTCCTTGTGAGGAAGAGGACCAGGGAGGATGAGTTGACTTGGCACTTGTGGTCTCTCTTCTGACCGGGCAGTGTCTGTTCTGGGGGGGCTGCACCACCTCAGCGATGCTCGAATCACTGCCTTTGATCCCAAAGCCTGGAGAGTAAGGAAGTGAAAAACAAAGCCTTGATTTATTAGAATACAAAAAAATAACACCACCAAGGAAGAAGGAAAGGCAAAATTACTGATTTGACTCTGATGTTGGTTGAGATGCAAAGACTAAAGAGTTACGTGGTCCAAGGAACTGCAGCGTTTGCTGGTTCTTGGTATTTCAGATTGGTCGGAGTTGTGGGGGGGGGAAGAGCAGGTAATAATTTGACATTTTAATTTAA